TCCGGAGCCATTTTGTGTGGGTTGTACCCCCAAGCCCTACCTGGGACTCTCTCTACGTACAGCAAAAATGGGGTCTACCTACTTATTACGGGGAAGTAGCTACAAAGCTGCAGGTACATACTGTAGAGTGTCAGCTAAGGGCTTAGGGGAGCCGGTAGCAAGACCCGCGCTGCGAGGATATGCTCAGGGATGGCAGAAATGCTTTGTGTTGTGTTGTTCTTGCTCTCTTCTTCTTTTGTTGTTTGGGTCTTCCTTCCCCCCCCGCATCCAGAGGGCGGACTTCGCCGCAAACCCGGAAGGTCTTGGGGTCCACCCTCCGACATGTAACGGTCGAAAAGAAATGCTCGTAGTATTCCACAATGGTCCCTATAATTATAAATTCCCCCCCCCCCCCCCCCAAACCCTAATCTAGTTGTTCATTAAGGCTCCTATATACTGCCGCTTTTCAGAGATGGTCTTCACCTGGAAGAAAAAATTCTGGCAGGGGACTTGTTCCCCCCGCAAAAAAAATATGGGTGAACTGGAACCAGAGGTACACCCTGAACCCTAAACTCTAAACCCTACACCCTAAACCCTAAACCCTAAGCCCTAAACCCTAAACCCTAAGCCCTAAACCCTAAACCCTAAGCCCTAAGCCCTAAACCCTACAACGTAAAACGACCACCCCAAAGAGCACTGCGCGGGGCTGAGAAAAGCGACACGCATCCCCTTTGAGCGGACGCATGAACCCTAAACCCTAAACCCTAAACCCTAAACCCTAAGCCCTAAGCCCTAAGCCCTAAGCCCTAAACCCTAGCCCATCCAGGGAGTTTAGGGTGTATGGGTGCGCCCCTGTTGCAGTCCGTCTGGGGTTTAGAAAACAAGTACAGTATCATATTCAGGAGTGTTTTTCAGAAAACAAGTAGCATATTCAGGAGTATTTTTCAGAACAGAAAGTATCAGATTCAGGAGTTTTCTTCAGAAACAAAAGTGTCATATTCAGGAGTTTTTTCTTCAGAAAAAAGTATCATATTCAGGAGTTTTCTTCAGAAAAAAGTATCATATTCAGGAGTTTTCTTCAGGAAAAAAAGTATCATATTCAATAGTATTCTTCAGAAAAAAAGTATCATATTCAGGAGTATTCTGCAGAGGCTTTAGGGGAGCGGAGAGCCTCATTCGAGAACCCCGTGTGCATGTGGACGATCTTGGTCTAGGTCCCTCTACTCCCAACGTAAGAACCTCGAAGCGCAAGCACTGCTTGAGAATGCCATCAAGCTCCCCAAGCCCTATGAAACAAGCCTCAGCCCTCTGAAACAAGCCTGAGCCCTCTGAAACAAGCCTGCAACCTGTATCACCCCCTTAAGCCGCGCTTTTGATCACGTGAAGGTGCAGCCGTCCCCCGGCGGCAGCTGGGAAGATGGGGTTTAGGGTTTAGGGTTAGGGTTTAGGAGTTCAGGGTTGGGATGTTCCCTCTTGGAGGGGTCATATCTGTCAGGCGTCTGCCTCGAAGCCCACCACACACAAAGCCCTTTGAAAACCTTGAGCTCCCTGGTTAGACCTTCTCTTGGTAGTCCGGCGGTACACTTTGGACCCCTTCTGGTTGAGTCTAGGTCCCCTCTTGATCGTCACCAACCCCAATGGTGACTGGCCTACCAAGCTTCAATCACATTCTCCTAACTCAAGCCTCCACTTGGGACTGGCAGTCCTAAACAAGCCCAAGCCCTACCAAGCCGCGCTTCGGAGCCTAAGTTCGAGCTCCCCCGAACCCTACATCCTGAACCCTGTAGATTCCCTAAATCCCTCGACCCTAAACCCTGAACCCCTAGAGCCCTAGCTCTCCCCTACAGCCCCTTATTCCCTAACCCCTCTAAATCCTGACCCTAAACTTACTTCACCTTTAGTTGAACTTTAAGCTTTTTGATTTTCCTTATTTAACAGGCATGTTAAGGTTTATAACCTTTTTCCCCTTGGTTATTGGAGAAGTATACGTAAACCCTAAACCGCGCAAGCCACAGGGAGCTTTGCGAGCAGTTGGAGGCCTGTTCCAAGAGGACTCGTGGGCGTCAGGGTTTAGGGTTTAGGGTTTAGGGTTTAGGGTTTAGGGTTTAGGGTTTAGGGTTTAGGGTTTAGAGTAAAAACCCTGCAAATCCCATAAACTGTGAGCCCTAGAAACCCGAGAGTCCGGATTTAAACCTTGCAAACCCCAGAAGCCCCAAGCCCGTAGTTGAGGGTGTTAGGAAGCTTAGGGCTCGGGGTCTAGGGTTGAGGATTTAGGGTTTAGGGTTTAGGGTTTAGGGTTGAGGGTTTAGGGTTTAGGGGATTGAGGGTTTAGGGTTTCAAGGGTTCAGGGGCTTAGATTAGAGGGTTTACGGGGGTTAGGGCTTGAGGAGTGTGGTGGCAGAGTAGTTTTGGAGTGGGATTAGGGTTTAGTGTTTTCTGGCATCAGCCAGGCATGTCCGTCTTTTCTTGGGTTTAAGGTATGCCTAAGCCCTAAATCCTACATCCTACAATGGCGCTCCGCGTTATCGAGCCCCCCCCCCCCCCCCCCCCCAGAACCCTGGTCGAATCCTAAACTCGGAACGACCCCAAACGGGCGGTAGAATGAGAATCCTACAGCCCAACCCTAAGCCCTAAAACCTCACCCTAAACTCTAAACCCTAAACCCTGAACCCTGAACCCTAAACCGTAAGCTCTGAACCAACCATGAATCTCAGGGGAGGAGACCATGGAGGGGGAGGGGGTTGCGTGAATGCGGCCGCATTAAAACACGTAAGCCCTTTGTCTGCAAGTTGTTTCAGGCTGAGAGCTTGGGGCAACAAGAAACCCTAAGGCCTGCAAACCCTTACAAAAACCCAAACCCTACCTAAACCCCAAACTCCTGAATTAAGGAATAGTCCTTAGATCATACCAGGATGGGCTATTAGGCCTTAAAACCCCCATAATGAACCCTATTCAAGGGCCTTTTAAGGGATTATAGGGTACAATAGCCCATCCTGGTAAGAGGGTATACTTCTTGCTAAAGGGGCATTGGAGTCTCTAGGCTACCTATACCTCAAACCCCTGAGCCCGAAGTTCCAGGCTGCTTCCCGATGGTAAACCCTCAACCCTAGACCCTCAACCCTCAACCCTCAACCCTAAACCCCTAAACCCTAAACCCTGGCAGGATCATATTTCTCGCAGACAAGGGCCCGGGCCTTGGCAACGCGAGGCAAGCCCAGAGGGTTTAGGGTTTGGGGCTTTAGGGTTCAGAGGGTTTAGGGTTTAGGGTTTAGGGTTTAGCGTTTAGGGTTTAGGGTTTAGGGTTTAGGGTTTAGGGTTTGGGGCTTAGGGTTTAGGGTTTGGGGCTTAGGGTTTCGGTAATGCTTCCTTCCTCCAAGGGCACTTTGGATAACGGCGTTAAGCTGCACACAAAATCCGATGAATCAGAGGCACCCCAGAAAAGCCCCCAACAAAGCCAAGGACCCAGAGTAGGCCATTATTCCCTTTTGATAGAGTTTACATTCCCTGATAATAAGCCCCTTTTAAACAAACAAAGGTACCCTTGATATTTCTGGGTTACTCTTGGGTCCACAAGCCCTAATTCTGAAACCCGAAAACCCAAAGCCCTAAGCACCTTGAAAACCCTCTCACCACTCGAGACCTACCTAGAAGCCGAAACGCCCTGAGCCAGTGAACAAACTGACGCTTTAAGAAAGAAACGCCCCTCGAATCCGCTAAGGTCTCTAAGCGCTGTGTGCCCTTCGAATTTTAAACCCCAAACCCGAACATAGCCTTGAGCCCTAAAGCCTAAGCCTTTGGATTTAGGGTTCGGAATTTCGGCGAGACCCCTTAAAGCCCTAAACCCTCAACCCTAAACCAAAAAGAAATGCCGAGATGGCCTTCCGCTTCGCGAGTCCGCGGCATTACCCCTGGCGCCGAAGACGGTGCTCAGCCCTCGGAGGACTCCAGGTTAAGCTTTTCTCAGGCTCAGGGGCTGGGTGGCTAGCCTGTAGCCTTTTTTGGTTACACAGAATCCTACTCGAAGCAGAAGGCTGACCTTTTTTTCGGGCTAGGGTATGCAGACCCTGAGGGTTCAGGGTCTTGGGGTTTTAGGGTTTTGGGCTCTCAGGGTTTTAGGTTGAGGGTTTCAGACGTTTGGGGTTTAGGTTGTTAGGGTTCAGGCCTTGCAGGCACTGAAGGTTTTTTGGGGCTTTTCGGCACTTTAAGGGCTTTCGGGCCTAAGGTTTTCTTCAGGTTTGTTGGTGTGCTTGTAGGGCTGTTAGGGTTTTGAGGGTTTTTTGGAGATTTTCGGGGATTGGCGAAGGTGTACCGGGCTTCTGCAACCCCGACAACCCAGGTGCAACTGGAGGTGTGTTGAGTAGGCACTATTTAACCACCCTGGCCCCTGAACCCTAAACCCTAAACCCTAAAGACCCCTTGAAACCTTGAAACCCTGGACGCTAAAAACTTCTCGTTTGCTGCTTCAGCTCTTCTAGGACCCGGATTGGGCCCTTGTCCCCCTTTGTTAGGGTTTAGGTTCCCTTCCGAGCCCTTTAAACCACACAGAGGGCACCCTTTGCATTCCTAGGTTGCTCTTGGGTCTAGCTTTTGTGGAGTGTTTAGGGTTTAGGGTTTAGGGTTTAGGGCGGGTCTAGTCTTGGTCCATGTATAATTTCCCCGTCCTTGCATCGCGCTCTTCGCGCGGGTAACGTTAGGGCGTAGAAACATTTACAGGGTATTGCAGGCTTTCGCCGCAAGGTCGCGCTTCAGCTAAGCTGGTGCCCACTCATAATTGTATACTATGTCAAGTCTTCGGACACCTTAAAATTATGGTTCTGCGGGGTTTCGGGCTGCGAGGTCGCGTGTAGCTCCTGTCGGAACCATTGGGGAATGTTTGGCTTGAGTCCTGCCTCGTGCTCAGTGGGAGTCATTGGTTTTTAAGCGAGACATCTCGCCCCATGGGGGACTTCAACCAGGCCATCGATGTGTCTGAGACGTATCCGCCTCCACCGGATCTGCGCGCGAAGGCGCACGTGAAGTCGATGGAGGAATACCAGGCCATGTACAAAGCCACTTAGTAGCTGAGTGAGCACACTCTACAGTTTTTGGGATACCCCTAAACCCTAAACCCTAAACCCTAAACCCGAAACCCTAAACCCTGAACCCTAAACCCTAAACCCTAAATGCCTTCTAGAACTGAACGTGTAGACTTTCTGATTTCTTATGAACTCAGCAACTAAGGCCAGCTTGGAGGATCCGGAGAAGTTCTGGGGCGACATGGCCAGGGAGTTCTACTGGAAGACGCCTTTTGAGAAGGTGGGCCCGACCTACAACTTCGACCGCACCAAGGGCGACGTGTCCATCAGGTGAGGGGGGGCTTTGGCTACGAAAATTTCAGGGACCCCCTTAGTATTCGGCCCCTATATATATATATACATATATATATATATTTGCATATGTATATATATATATATATATATAAACCGCAAATCCCCCCCCCCCCCCCCCCCACCCCCCAGGTGGTTCGAGGGAGGTGCGACCAACCTCAGCTACAACTGTCTAGACCGGAATGTTGAGCAGGGCTTCGGCTCGAAGACCGCCATCTACTACGAGTCTTGGGCAACCCAGTGGTAGCCCTTTTCCCTTTTCTTGGGTTCAAGGTTCCCTTAGAACGTAACCGACCCCAACCCAGTGGTAACCTTTTCCCTTTTTTTTTCGGGTTCAAGGTTCCCTTATGAAGTAACCAACCCCAAAAACAGTGCCCTTATTAGAATATGGTTACTGGGCTACGAAGGAGTGCAACGACCTGGATGACGGCCACGCGGCCTACTCCTACTCTGATGTCCTGCGGATGGTCTGCAAGCTCGCGAATGCCCTCAAGGCCGAGGGCGTCCAGAAGGGGGACAGGCTCTCGGTCTACCTGCCCATGATCCTGGGATTCGCAGGCTTAGCCTTGGGTTTAGGGTTTAGGGTTTAGGGTTTAGGGTTTAGGGTTTAGGGTTTAGGGTTTAGGGTTTTTTTTGGTTGTTTTGTTTTCTCCGTTTTTGGTTTCTAAGAAGCCTGGGTGTTGCTCAATCCACTCCACAGCCATGAAGTAAGGTCCATCCTTGACTTTTTTCAAATAATAATGATAATATCAATAATGATCATCATAACAATAATACTTAATACTAATAATAATGATGATAATCATAGTGACAATAATAATACGAATAACGATAATAATAATAATAATAGTAAAGGTATTAATACGAATACTAATAATACTAATCGTAAAAAAACAAAACAAATAATAATAGTAATAATAATAGTAATAATAATAATAATAATAATAATAATAATAATAGTAATAATTGGGAACCTCGAGGATCGTGGAGCTTCCTGCCTCCATGCTCGCCTGCGCCCGGATCGGGGCCGTTCATTCCGTGGTCTTCGGCGGCTTCTCCGCCGAGTCCTTGGCCGGCCGCCTGCAGGCTCTAGGGTTTAGGGTTTAGGGTTTAGGGTTTAGGGTTTAGGGTTTAGGGTTTAGGGCTTAGGGTTTAGGGTTTAGGGTTTAGGGTTTCCGGTTTAGGGTTCAGGGTTTAGGGTTCTTAAGGGAGGGGGGGGCTCAAGGGGGGTACCTAGGGAACCTTAGGGAAGCTTAGGGAGCCTTAGGGAGTAGTAGGGGGTATTCATAAGCAGGACGCGCAGTCCAGCCTGGTGATCACCGCCGACGCCGTGATGCGCGGGGCCAAGCCCGTGCAGCTGAAAGCCATCACCGACAAGGCCTGCGAGATCGCGGCCAAGGACGGCTTCAACGTGCAGCGCGTGGTCTGCGTAGCGCGCCTCAAGGACACCCCAAGAGCAGGGCAGGCGCAGCATGGCTGGGTCAGCGGCCGGGACGTTTGGTACTCGGACTTCGTGGCAGCGCAGGCAGAGGAGTGCGAATGCGAGTGGATGGACAGCGAGGCTCCACTCTTCATGCTCTACACGTCCGGCAGCACTGGCAAACCCAAGGGCGTCCTTCACACGACCGGGGGCTACATGCTCGGAGCCTTCGCCACAACCAAGCGCCTTACCTTGATGGCATGTCTACTTGCGCCTGGTGACCTTCAACTAAGACAGAGCTCGCGGACCCTAGAAGCCCCTTCTATGCCCTTGTAAATTGTATGTGTTGCTAAGCCGCAAATACCAGAAATCTACAAGCCCCAACTCATACCATGCGAATTGCTCAGAGCCCAAGGCCCCTGAATTGAGGAGCATAGCTCAGTTTCAGATCCCATTAACCCTATTTAGTTGAAGGAATCTTCCTCACCGAAGGGCTGCTGGGCTCCAGAGGTGTTTCGATCACTTGCCGAGCACTGAGGTATACTTTTGACTACCACCCGGAGGATGTGCGCTTTATCTGAACTTAGTAGCTGAGTGAGTACACTTTACACTTTTTGGGGATACTATCACCCCCCTATATAACCCCCTAGAAAACTGAAAGTGTACACTTTTTTGGGGGGGCTGATGAACCCAGCAACCAAGTGAAGGACATTGAAAGCTTGAAAGGGTTTTGAGGTGTTTATCGGGCTTCAGGGTATAGAGTTGCAGGCCTTGCTGTCAAAGGACCCTCAGTAGTGGTAGGATGCGGCTTGAACTCCCCTAAAGGTTTTTCGGGGGTGGGGGGGGGGGTGTTATTGGACTTACATGCGGCTCCAATGTAGGGGGGGGAGCATCCTCTTTTGTGGTTTGGGGGTGGGGGGGAGGGTAAAGGTAAAGTAAACTGACGCCAAAGACCCTGGGAAACCTTTCAACCTGAGCCCCAAAGCCCTGGGGCATATCGGGCTGAAGGAACCCCATGCAAACCCTAAACCCTCAACCCTCTATATACATATATATATATATTATATATATATATATATATATCTCGAATTAAGCCCGAAACCCGAAAAAAGGTACTTTTGCACAGCCGACTGCGGCTGGATCACTGGCCACTCCTATGTGACCTACGGCCCCATGCTGAACACTGCGACGCAGGCGCTGGATTTGCATTAGCGTCCCGTTGCTGCATACAAGTCAGTATACATATATATATATATATACACTGTTTTTAAATGTATTTATTTATGTTTATATGGACCCTTTTGGGTCTTTTCGCACTCGCCGTTTCGGCACCATCTCTTGACAATGGAAATCGACGCGTCCAAGGCCCCTAGGCAATCCTATGCAAGTTGAATGGCCAAAACGCAAAAGAAGCAAACTGTCCTGGAAGAAGATGCGGGAAAGTTTGGGTTTGAGGATTGATAATGGATGTTCGATGTATTGCTAAACATCTCAGGTTGGTCCATTGGGGGGGAGGAGGGGCGAGCACATGTATGAATATATAGAGAAAAAAGCTCCCGTGATGGCCTTAGTGTAGCACAACCTCCATGTCTTACGTCCTCCCAAAAACCCAACAACGCAACCTGACTCTGAGCCTCGGCGCTCTGGACCCCCGAACCTTACACCCGAAACCTTAGGCCTTGCAAAAAATCGAACCCCCAAAATCTCGAAGCTCCTCCACAATTCAAGAGACCGCCTGGGCGGCCGCCTTGTGACCCCCACTTGGTTCACACGTCATTTTTCCTGAGGGTAGCGGTTATGTTAGGGAATAGTTTAGCTGCAACTTGAGAGCCCAATGCCCGAAACCCAAAATTTCTAAACCCTAAACCCTAAACCCTGCTCTTGGTGTCCAGGTCCTCTTCGAAGGCGTCCCTACCCACCCGGATGTCGACCGGTTCTGGAAGGTCTGCGAGAAGTACAAGGCGGCTTTGGGTTTAGGGTTTAGGGTTTAGGGTTTGGGATTTGGGGTTTGGGGTTTGGGGTTTAGGGTTTGCCTGTATGTAATCCCAAAGAAAGCAAGGGCTTAGGGGGTTACTCGGTAGGCCCTTAAGACATTTGGTATTTTCTCTTTATTGGGTTTTCATATTCAGGAATATTGTTCACAGGGTTTTGGGGCCATCCTAGTTTAGGGTTTAGGGTTGCATGCTGGGGCTTTTGGCTTAATTACTTGGTTCAGGTTTGGGGTTTGGGGTTTAGGGTTTAGGGCCTTATAGGGGTTTTCAGGCTGTCTGGGCCTTTCAGGGTTTGAGTTTTAAGGCCAATAAGGCCAAGGCAAGCCAAGCAAAGTCAGGCACTTCCCAAGGTTAAGAGGATCGATCGGGCAACATAGATCTGCAAGGCTTGGGGGAGGAAGCTGTCGGTTTTACGACGAGCCTCTCTAAGCCCAGCTCTTCTTGATGGATGGTTTCTTCTCGTATCCTAAGCCTTACACACCCCATAAGATTTATCCCGACCAAAGCCCGAACTTAGGTTTTCGGGTTTAGGGTCGCTGTGAACACTATCATACCAAATGGGTTCAGGGTTCTTTCAAGCCGGGACCTCCTAAATCCTGAGCCCCGTAGCCGAAGCTCTGATGGAGCCCTGTCACCCTGAACCTAACCCAAACTGCCCAGACCCGAAATCACTGAACCCTCGAAGCCTGACCTCAGGGGTCTCGGGGCTTTCGGGTCTGAAAGGCTTACCCTAAACCCTAAACCCTAAACCCTAAACCCAAAACCCTAAACCTCCAGGTCAGCATCTTCTACACGGCGCCCACCGCCATCCGGGCGCTGATGAAGAGCGGGGACGCCCCCGTCACCCGCAACGACCCCGGGATGGGTGTTTAGGGTTTAGGGTTTAGGGTTTAGGGTTTATAAGGGTTTAGGGGGTTTAGGGTTTATAAGGGTTAAGGGTTTAGGGTTTAGGGTTTAGGGTTTAGTGTGCACACTTGCACGTTACTTCGTTCGTGTCATAGGGGCACAAGGGAATTAGGTTTGAGGGTTTAGGGAGTTATAGGGCACCGGGGAATTATGTGCCTTACACCAGCCAAATGTAAGCTGTTGACGTTGTATTCGGGGTTTTCGAAATTAGGGAAGCCTTATTGGGGTCCTTATTTTTATAAGGGAATCCTACCATGTGGGGGTCTTATAAACGGGGTCCCTTATTTTCGAAAACCCCCATATGTCCGGACACCGAATTCCCTACCCAGCACTAAGCTTCGGAGTTTAGCGTGAGGATAAGGGGGAACATCCGGAACATCCCACTAGAGTTTAGGGTTTAGGGTTTAGGGTTTTAGGGTTTAGGGTTTAGGGTTTTAGGGTTTAGGGTTTAGGGTGTAGGGTTTAGGGTGAGGATAAGGGGAAACATCCCAAAGTGAACCCTATCCCCTGCTGCGCCCTGGCCCCCTGCACCCAGTCCTGCAGACTTCAATCGCCTTGGTTTCAGGGGTTTGGGGCTTTGGGTTTAGGTTTGGGGTTTCCCTAAACCCTAAACCCTAAACCCCAAGCCCTAAACCCTAAACCCCAAACCCTAAACCATATGCCCTACGACTTACGGGTTCTGAGGTTTCAGATGCGTCTTCAGTAGAGGCACGCCCTGTAAGCTCTCCCGCAACAAGCCCTCAGATGCCTTAAACCCTGGACGCCGCCCCTAAACCCCAAACCCCAAGCCCAAACCCCAAACCCTAAACACTAAACCGCCTGAACCAACCCTAAACCCTAAACCCTAAACCCTCAACTCTAGACCCGAAACCCTAAACCCTAAACCCTAAACCCTAAACCCTAAACCCCCGCCTCCCAAACCCTAACCGCAGGACCTCAGCAGCCTCAGACTCTTGGGTACCGTCGGCGAGCCGATCAACCCAGAGGCGCCCCCGAAGAGTTTAGGGTTTAGGGTTTAGGGTTTAGGGTTTAGGGTTTGGGGTTCCAGGGTTTAGGGTTTAGGGTTTAGGGTTTAGGGTGTAGGGTTTAGGGGGTTCTAGGGTTTTAGGGTTTAGTGTTTTAGGGTTTAAGGGTTTTAGGGTTTAGGGTTTAGGGTTTTAGGGTTTAGGGGATTGGGGTTTGGGGTTTAGGGGTTTAGGATTCAGGGTTTAGGGGTTTGAGGGTTTGAAGGTTTAGGATTTAGGGTTTAGGGGTTTTTGTTTGGGGGTTTTAGGGTAGGGGATTTAGGGGATTCAGGGTTTGGGTAGGGCGTATAGGGGGCTTAGGGTTTAGAGTTTTAGGTTTAGGGTTTCGGGCTATCTCCAATCCTTCCCCCGTGTAACTCAGATCTTGGGGCTTATAAAAACAAGGTTAGAAGGGCTTTGTTGTTGGCTTTTGGGGTTAGAATGTAGAGCTTCGGGGTTATGGGGAGTTTGGGAATAGAGGTTTGAGGGTTAGGGCTGCGGGTTATATAAGGGTTTGAGGGTTTAGGGTTTAGGGGTTTAGGGGTTTGAGGGTTCATTGGTTTGAGGGTTTGAGGGGTTAGGGCCTATGGTTTAGGGGCTTACAATATGGGTTTAGGGGTTTCTGAGGGTTTAGGGCTTAGGGGTTTAGAGGTTTAGGGTTCGGTTTGAGGGTTTAGGGGTTGGGGGGGTTTAGTGTTCAGTGTTTTCAGTTTTAGGGTTTAGGGTAGGGCCTCACGTGTAAGAAGACACCTGACTGAAGAAACCTCCAAGCTCGCTTTACCCGTACAACCCTGAGCTCTATGTATCCCCTTAAGCCCCAGACAAACGCGAAGCCCATCCCCCCCAACCCCCCTTCAAGCCGAAACTCGAAAGCAAAAGGCAAACCTCCCAAACTGCCCATAACCCCGAAGCTCTACAATCTAACCCCAAAAGCCAACAATAAAGCCCATCTAAACCTTGTTATATAAGCCCCAAGATCTGAGTAACACAGGGGAAGGATTGGAGAGACCCCGAAACCCTAAACCTAAAACTCTAAACCCTAAGCCCCTAAGCCCCTAAGCCCTAAATCCCCCCAAACCCCCTAAGCCCCCTAAACGCTCTACCCAAACCCTGAATCCCCCAAATCCCCTAAACCCTAAACCCCCAAACCCGAAACCCTAAACCCTAAACTCCCAAAACGCAGGCTTGGAGGTGGTACTACCGCGTTGTCGGCGGCGGCCACTGCGCCATCGCCGACACGTACTGGCAGACGGAGACGGGCAGCCACCTCATCACGCCCCTGGCGGGGGGGGGGGTGGTGGTTTGGGGTTTGGGGTTTTTTAAGGGGCTGGGGTTTAGGGTTTAAGGTTTAGGGTTTAGGGTTATAGGGGCGAAGGAGAGAGGGTTTAGGATTTAGCGTCAGCGGCATTTCTGGGGCGTCAAGAGCACGGGCTTCGATTTCGCAAGGGTTGGGGTTTTCTGGGAGGTTCTGGGTCTTCAGGGGCTTCTGTAGAGGCGAGGTCGGACGTTCGAGAAGAGGAAGAAAGGAAGGAGAGAAAGAGAGAGAGAGAGAGAGAGAAAGGCAGAGAGAGATAGAGAGACAGAGACAGAGAGAGAGAGAGAGAGAGAGAGAGAGAGAGCGAGAAAGAGAAAAAGAGAGAGAGAGAGGGCGCGAGCGGAGCCATTTTGGCTCAAGCCACGAGCGGCATGCCGCTGCCCCAACAAGCATGTTCAAGAAAAGCTTCACCCTTCATCCAAGCCCACGCACATCGGCAAACGAGAAAAAAGGGACAAGGTACGTACAACAAACAAAAGCCAGTGCAGAGACGCAATGGCGTCGAACTTCCACGCAGCCCCACTCACTTGCGCGAAGAAATCACACGTCCCTCCCGATTGTCAAGATCCGCAAAACACGCAGGAATGCTTCGAAATGCTACAAGTTCAAGATCCCAACGAAAACACCAAACGACAACGAGGCATCATGCCACTTACCGCCTTTTGCTCCCCCCTCTCACCCCCCCTCTTGCCCCGTTTTTTACCACCCTCTTTCCCCCCCCCCTCTTACCACCCTGTCATCCCCCTCTCCCCGCCCCCTTACCTCCCACTCGTAATACTCCTATGCTGCCTCTCGACCATCGAGCGTGGGCCCAAATAAGCATAAGGAAGCGATGAAGGCGTTTATGAGACTATCCATTCAAGTGCAGCTGTTAGTTTCGATCGTACAGAGCCGAGATTGCAGGTCATGGCCTTCTTCACATTGGCGGCGCACCTATAGGTCTATTGCGTGATTGTCGTGCACCATCGCAGTCTGAGCATTCGTTCTGAAAGCTGACCCGTTTGTGTGTAAGGCTCTGGCGCAGGCGCGCGACCTCGCCAGCGAGGGCAAGAATGTGGAGGAAATCGATTTGGCCGTTGGAAGCTCAGCCTTTGAGAGTCCACGATGGAAGTTTCGTTATTCACTCGGCGGCACGAAGGTGCGCCGTCGCTGGGGGGCCCTAGCGGAAGCCGCGGCCATGAAGGAGTCTGCAGTCCGAACCCTCCCTGTGTGTGCAAGCGTTCGTCTCGTGTTCCTGCCAGGAGTTCTACCAGATGGTCACGAACTCCATGCCCCTCCAGATACGCACGGCGGCCATTGACGCGCGGTTCCTCAAGGAGGAGCGCATTGGTCGGGCACTTACTCTTACACGATTGCAGACACTCAGGGTTCGAGAGGTTGCTGGGGCAGGACTCCGTAAACTGTTTACCTCCATGAAGCCGTGTCACCGAGGCCTGCTGTGGCGCGGCCACATTCGAAGAGTGCCGTGTGGCTAAAGGCGCGTCGATTAACTCGCGCAGGCCTTCATGCGTTCTGAAACACTGCAACAGGTGACGACGACGTCGCCGTGGCCGAGCACATCGGCCAGAATCCAAAGGCCAGCGCGAGTGCCTGTGTGACGGATGGGCAAGACTAAGTCTCGACTCAGGCGTCCCCCTGGCTCTCTTTCTCCGAGAGTCTCGCGGTGGCACTTTGGTACGCCTTGGCAAAGGCGCCAGGGTGTATTGGTGCGTGTTGGCGCCACGTGCTGGTTGGTTACGAAACTAGATTGTGTATTCTCAAGCGTATAGGCTGGGGCCCAGCCTACCTCGAATCGCGTAGACGGGCTGTTGTATAAAGATCAGGTGGAACCGGTTAAGACGGGAACAACATCTGTTCTTTCTCTTTCCCGCAACCGGTCGCCTTCCCCGAAACCCCGAATACTTGGCAAGCATCACAACGCTTGTGCCCCACCATCCTCCGTGAGGTACCGGATCGTCTTCTGCGCTGCTGCGTCGAGAGACATCATCGACGCTGCATTTTCTGTGCTTTGGGTTGTGTGGCCGTAAGCCTCCTTCCCACACATCCCCCGACAACCTCTCCTAAGACCTGTTCACGGTCACGGTCAAGGGTGGCTAGGCCTTGTGGTTGTTTGAGATTCGGGTTTAGAGTAAACGGAACTGCCCTGCTCTTCCCCATGAGCGAATAAACGGAGTTGGCCGGTTCGCTTGAAGTGAGGAAGCGGACCTGCCCTGCTCACTCCAGACCTGCCCTGCTGTCCTCGGCTGCTAGGGTGGGGAGGGGCCAGGGATGGAGCCATGGGTGGGGAGCCAGGGATGAAGTGTGGTGGACAGGCGGAGTGGGTGGGGAGGCGGAGAGGGTGGAGCAAGCGGCATGCACTGGGGCCCTTGTTCAAAGTCAGCTGATAGGGTGGGGAGGGGCCAGGGGATGGAGCCATGGGTGGGAGGGGCGCGGAGAGGGTTGAGGAAGCGGCATGCAGGGCCCTATCAGTCAGCTGATAGGGTGATGGGCCCTTATTCAAAGTCAGCTGATAGGGTGGGGAGGGGCCAGGGATGGAGCCATGGGTGGGGAGGAGCGGGCCCAGAGGCGAGAGGGCGGAGAGGTTCTTATTCAAAGTCCAGCGGATAGGGTGGGGAGAGGCCAGGGATGGAGCCATGGGTGGGGAGGGGCCCTTCTTCAAAGTCAGCTGATAGGGTGGGAAGCGCCAGGATGGAGCCATGGGTGAGGGATGAAGGGGAGAGGGGGGAGGGCGGAGCGAGCGGGCATGCACTTATTCAAAGTCAGCTGGTAGGGTGGGGAGGGGCCAGGGATGGAGGAGAGAGGAGAGAGCGGGGAGAGAGGGGAGAGAGGGGAGAGAGGGGAGAGAGGGGAGAGCGGGGAGAGAGGGGGAGAGAGGAGGAGGGGGAGAGAGGGGGAGAGAGGGGGAGAGAGGGGGAGAGAGGGGGAGAGAGGGGGAGAGAGGGGGAGGGAGAGGGGAGAGGGGAGAGGGGGAGGGGGGAGGTGAATCTCTGAATTTCTACAATTTGCTTGGGTTCCTATCGAACAAATTGCCATATTTGGGGTTCTTAAACAAATGGTAAGTTTAAATCGTGATGTTCCCCCCTTCTACTAACAGTCCTTAGTAGGGATGAGAGTACCCCTATTATAATCCCAATAAAGGATCTCCAAAGTTTAGGGTTCCACCCTGAGCCGCCCTGACTGAGACGCCTACAGTAGCCCTCTCTCATGTCGTTAGGGGTGTGGGGTGTTGGGCTTAATGACTTTCAGGGGTAGCTCCAACTTTCAACCCAGAAAAATTGGCCCAAACCCCTGCCCTAAACCCTGGCGTTGCAGGGGCTTTTCGGGTATTTTGGCCCATCCTGGCAGGTGGGCGCCATGGACTGCAAGCCGGGGTCTGCCGTGCTGCCCTTCTTCGGGGGGCCCGGGGGAGGAGGAAGAGGGGGGGGGGTAGAAGGGTATAGGGTTTTGGGTTTAGGGTTTTTTTAAATTTTGGGTTTGATCCCTAAATCCTTCCAATCTACAGCCAACCATGGGACTTAGGACAATCGCCCTAAACCCTATGACCCTATAACCCTAAACCCTAAGGAATTACCCTAAAACCCTAAACCCCATGAGCAGTGGAGGTGGAGCCTGCCATCCTCGATGAGCACGGCAAGGAGACGGGTTCCCAAGGGCTCCAAGGGCTTGTGGACCACTGGGTTTAGGGCTTAGGGTTTAGGGTTTCGGGTTTAGGGTTTAGGGCACTGAAGTTGCGATCAGAAGGCGACTGTGGTAACCTAAACCCTCAACCCTAAACCCCTCAGCCTAAGAAGCAGCTGTGGTGTTTTGAGGTTGATTTGAATATTTTCAAAAGCTCCATGGGCCCTCAATCCAAAGGCCTGCACCTTGTTAAGTATGCAGCCCGTAGATCGCACACATTTCATAGATAGGGCCCTCAAGAATATTGCAGGGTTTAGGGCTAGGGTTTAGGGAACCAGAGGGATTATCGGGCTTACGGTTTAGGCTTATCACCGGGCGGTTGAGGGTTTGGGGCTTATAGGGTTCCAGGGCAGTTGAGGGCCTTGAATCCTCAACCTTGGAGCTTTTTCTGAAGCTTTTCGAGGACGCTCATGACTTCAAAACATGTAGGACCGTCTCCGGCCGAGGACTAGATCCGTTTAGGGTTCGCCCTAGATCCTCATACTTCTATAGGATTTAGGGCTTTTAAGGGGTTTATGGGTTTAGTTTTTTTTTTTCGGGTATTCGGGTTTTAGGGTTTTCGGGGTTTAGGGTTGAATCAGGCTTTGTAAGGCTTCCAGGGGTTCATCAGGGTTTACAGGGCTTTCTAGGGAGCCACCCCAGGGTTCCCTGAACTTTAGACACCCCCCCCCCCCCCCCCCCCCCCCCCCAAGAAAAAGAACATAAAGCAAAAACAACAAAAAATGATAAATAATAATAAATAAATACACACAACCTTAAATAATAAATAAGCACAACCTTGACGCCCTAAGCAGCCCTAAACCCTAAACCCAAAACCCTAAACCCCAAACCCCAAGCCCCAAACCCTAAACCCTAAACCCTGAACCCTGAACCCTGAACCCTAACCCCGAGGAGTTGGAGGGGGAGTGCAGCGGCCGACTGGTGCTCAAGAGGCCGCCACCCTCCATGATGCGCGCCTTGGAGTTTCATCCGCCGTGGTTTCCTTTTTTGACAGGGGTTCAGGGTTTAGGGTTTAGGGCTTGGGGTTTAGGGTTTAGGGTTTAGGGTTTAGGGTTTAGGGTTTAGGGTTTAGGGTTTAGGGTTTAGGGTTTAGGGTTTAGGGTTTAGGGCTTTGCTTGTACAATGTTTCGTTCCAGCTCGTTGACTCAACTGGCCGAAAGGTTTGCTGACTTAAGTGTTCCGATTCTCCAGCCGAGTAGCATCTGGGAAGCCCTTCTTGAGCCCTAGGCAGAGCTAAGCCCCCTTCTTCCCACCACCCTCTTCCCTGAACCCTAAGCCCTAAACCCTAAGCCCTAAACCCTAAATAAACACTAAACCCTAAACTTAAACCCTAAACCCTGAACCCTTACCGAGGCACGGTCTATGGGGACCACAAGCGCTTTGAGGAGACTTACTTCTCGCAGTTCAACGGCTGCTACTTCACCGGGGATGGCTGCAAGCGCGACAAGGCCCCATCGGGGGGGGGGGGGGGGGGGGGGGGTGGAGGGAGGGGTTTAGGGTTTAGGGTTTGAGGGTTTAGGGTTTAGGGTTTCGCGCTTTAGGGTTTGGGGTTTAGGGTGGGTGTATGGTTTTAGGGGTTTTGGTCTCAGGGCCACTCGCAAGTTTGTAGGCTTCAGCGCACACACTTGACACGTGGAACTTTCATGATCGCAACCTCCGGAAGAGGCTACTTGAGCAGGTTTTGCTTCTGCGTTCCGACAAGCATGGCGGACATCGGCCCACCCCAAACGATAAACCCGGTACCCATGCGAAAGTCAACTTTCGAGCCCAAGGACGGCTTCTACTGGCTCACGGGGCGCATGGATGATGTGATCAATGCCTCTTGGTCTCAGTTGGGACATATGGCCTGATGAACAGTGCAGTTTTTTTATGACTCTAACTTGCCGCCTCCGCCTGATATTCAAGCCACCGTAACGTATTGTATGCCTCGCGACTTAAGGGTTAAGGGTTTAGGGTTTATAAAGAGTTTAGGGTTTAGGGTTTGCAGGGGACTATGAAACTTGAAGCTCCTTCTCATCCTGCATCCGGAACTTGACTGAATTCACTTTCTTGGAGAGCACGCGCACGGGGTTGGAATCATCCAAGACCCTATGAAAACTCCGGCAACACCGTACGCTTACTTCATCACGACACACACACACACACACAACCACCCTAAACCACCCTAAGCCACCCTAAACCATCCTAAACCATCCTCAAAACCCCCTAAAAACCCCTAAACCACCCTGAACACCCTGAACCCTAAACCCTGAACCCTACACCCTAACCCCAATCACCCTAAACCCTAAGCCCTAAACCCTAAACCCCAACACCCTAAACCCTAAACCCGAAGCTGGAGCCCTTCCGAGGTCTCCGGCCACCGCATCGGCACCGCCGAAGTCGAGTCCGCCCTGGTCGCGCACGCCAAGGCTGGGGGGGGGGGTTTGGGGGGGGGTTTGGGGGGGGGGGGGGGGTGCTTTGGGGGGTTCAGGGTTTTAGGGTTTAGGGTTTGGGGTTTAGGGTTTGGGGTTTAGGGTCTAGGGTTTAGGGCTTGGGGTTTGGAGTTTGGGCCCGTTTTGTGGGGGTTGGGGTGTTTTGGGGGGCCTTCTCGGCTTCGTTTGGGGCTTGGGGCTTGGGGGATCCGACGCTACTCACTCCCAGCCTACCCTAGCCCATTTAGACCTTTATAGAACCTTTGAATCCTTGAGCCCTTTGAAGCCTTTTTAAACCCTTAACACGCCTTCAACACCTTAAAAACCCGTTAAACCCCTTAAAACCCCTTAACAAATGTTCGTTAAACCCTTTAGTAAGCCCTTAAAACCCTTAACAACCCTGAAAAACCTTTAAACCGTTGAAACCCTTGAAACCGTAAAACCCTTAAAACCCTAAACCCTAACCCTAAACCCTAAACCCTAAACCCTAAACCCTAAACCCCACCAAAATACGGCAAGGGACCTGAGCTCCGAGGTGGCGGAAGCTGCGGTGGTGGGCTTCCCCCACGACATCAAGGACCTCCTTCGTTCTGAGGGGGGTTTAGGGTTTAGGGTTTAGGTTGTTATTTTATCTATATGTATATACATGTTTGTTTTTTTTTTTTTGGGGGGGGGGGGGGGGGGGGGGGGGGGGTGGTGGATAGAGGCTCGAGCTTATAGGGTTTAGGGTTTTAGGTCGCTAAATTCGGTAAACGCCTACGTAATTCGTAGGTATAACGCATTAGACTGTAGGTAAGAGAGTCCCACCAGGTATATAGGTTACGGTTTATAGGGCATAGCGCACTATAGGGCCGAGCAAGTGTTGTGGTTTAGGCGTAATTTTCATTCATCCCAACGCCCCTGAGAAGGAGCACGGATTGAGTCGTGGATCCTAAACCCCTTCAGAACTGGCAAGCCCACCCCATAGCGAAACAAGAAGCCGAACCTCTCGACCCGAAACCCCAAGCCCTAAAGCTCGCAGGGTGAGGGCATTTGGTGCTACGTGACGCTGAATGAGGGTGAGGCCTATGAGGACTCTCTCAAGGCAGACCTCAAGAAGCAGGTCGGAGGGGGGGGGGGGGTTAGGGTTTAGGGTTGAGGGTTTAGGATTCGGGTTTAGGGTTTAGGGAGGTTTAGCGCAGGGGGTGGGACGTTCCCTTGGACCCCATTAATGTGGTACCCTGGGGTGTGCACTTCGGAGAATCCCTAAGGTAATAGAAGGGTCATATCAGGAGCATACTAGGGGAAGCCTGCAGGGTTATGTAAACCCCTTGAATAAACAGAGGTTGTGGCATTCTGGGTTTTATGGCAGCTGGCCAGCCAAAATCAACCCAAACCTCTAAAAAGAGTTTAAGCCTTGTGAGCCCTATAGCCACCTTAAAGTCTTCCCACAAGAGTTCAACCCAAATTACTACTGGAATGAGTTGTAGGGAGTGTCAAGGATGAAAGAAACCCTACACTCAGCTCCCCTCCCCAGCTTCGGCGGCCCTTTGTAAGCGTTAAACCTTGCTGTTTAATCCGGCCATATTCTGGCAGCAAGTTCTTTCCCGTAATCCCCCTAAACACCCAAACCTCCCTAGCAACCCTACCTGGGACACTCTTTACCTACACTCCTACTAATCAAGGGGTAGCTACGTACTGAACTGTAGGTAAATGGGGTCCCCTCATCCCTAAACCCTAAACCGTAGGTTTTTGTTCAAGGTGTTGAGGGGGCTTAAGGGAGGCTACGGACGTTTAGGGAGGTGTATCTGGGATTCTCTTTCCCTACAGCTTTATGGGTTATACCTACGAATTAAGGGGTAGTTGCTACGAAACTGTAGGTACATGAGTCCCAGGTGAACCCTAAACCCTAGAAGCCCCTAACCCCAAACCCTAAACCCTAAACCCTAAGCCCCAGGTCCGGGAGGTCATCGGCGCCTTTGCCATGCCAGACGAGATCCACTGGGCTCCTGGCTTGCCAAAGACCCGATCCGGCAAGATCATGCGCCCCGGACTTCTTTGGGTTAATCGGGGGTTGCGGGGTTTGGGGGTTTAGGGTTCAGGGTTTAGGGGTTTTAGGGGTTTAAGTGCACCCCGGACTTCTTTGGGTTTCATAGGGGTTTTAGGGGTTTAGGGTTTAGGAGTTTAGAGGTTTAGGGGTTTAGGCGGGTAGGAGTTTAGGAAATTAGGGTTTTCGGGGTTTAGTGCGCCCCGGACTTCTTGGGGTTCATAGGGGTTGAGGCTTTTTAGGCTGTAGGGTTTTAGGGGTTTAGGGCTTTAGGGCTTTAAAGCCGGGTGTGGGGTTTGGGGCTTGGGGTTTATCGAGCTTTGGGCTGCCGGAGCTTACTTTTTCCGGGCAAGGGATGTGGGGTTTATTGAGGCTTTAGGAGCTTGGGTGTCTTTCGGGGTCCCGGCTTGCTTGTACGCTGACTGGCAAAAAAAGGACATCCTAATAATTGAGTACGGTCCTATAGGTTTACGGGCAGTCAGTGTAGTGACAGCTATAGATCTGGGGAAGGGTTGGCACGACACAAAATGTGAAGTGGCATGCCGGTTTACATCTGTTCACCGCCACGTGTCTAACCCCGGCCCATGCCCCTTTGGCAAAGAGAGAGCGAGCGAGCAAGAGCGAGCAAGAGCGAGAAAGAGCGAGAGAGAGAGAGACAGAGAGGGACAGAGAGGGAGAGAGCGAGAGAGAGAAAGGGAGCGGTTCAGGGTTTACACCGAGAAGTCAAAACGACGACAGCGAGGGAAACTGAGCCGGCGATGCGGCCATGGTTGTAGAGGGCCCAACGCAGTGGGCAATGCAGAGCAGACAGGAGCCCCCCCTGCGCCCTCAAGAAGAGATGCAGCAGGGGGTTGTTGTGATCGTGCTCTTTCAGACCTCCGTCAAGGCCTCACCCATTCTCCACCTGAAAAGCCGAGTCATCCTGTAGGCCCGGTGAGTTTCGCGGCGGGTTGGGGCGGGGGAGGGGGGGGGAAAAAATTGTAGAAATAGGGGGCCTGGGGTCTGGGCTGTTGTGTGTTGTCGTGTCTGCTTCATTTGTTGTTTTTCGTCACTGTCTCCCACTTGTTCTCTGCCCTCGTCGCCTTATTCGTTTCTTATTTTCCTCCTCTGGGGTCTGTTTCATTCGTTGGGTCTCTGCTTCGTTTTCTTAAAAGCGTGTCTCATTCGTTTTCTCGCTTCTCTTCGTTAATCTTGGCCCCTCGCTCGTTTTTCTCTCACTCCCCAGGATCCCATACTCTCATTTAAGTATTTGTTGCCACTCATTCGTTTTCACTTTTCCCCTCTCTTACTTCCCCAACACTTTTTGACTTGTCCCCTAGCTTCGTTTTGTCTTGGTTTGTCTCTAAGCTTAGCTGGGCTTTAGTTAGGCGGTTCATAGAAACGGCTAACATAAAGCCAAGATCCTAGAGCTTCGGGTTAGCCATTGGGTTATATTTTGGGTATTACTGGGGCTTAGTGGGTGGTTCTTTCTTTCCATTCTCCTATATCATTCCACATTCCCGAGATTGTCTTAAGTATTGATATTCTTAAATCATCATTGTCTGTCATCTTTCTGAGTGCTTCACGGAGAATACAAATATTAATATACATTGAACAAAAACCATTACGGTCATTAAACTGATTACCCACCTTTTCAACAATATTAACATTATCAATATTATTATACATTTCAATAATTCCGTCTTCGTCTTTTAACATCATAACAGCAAATAAAAGGTCAATACGTTCTTTTTTTTCCTTCATCATTGTCTAGTATTGGTGTTTGCTTTTCTAAGAACTTGTCACTTGCTTTAACCCAGAATTCATGACCTCTGCTACTAAGTTGGTTTTTTATTAATAAATTCTTTAATTTCTTGGGCTGTAGTTTCTCCTTCTAAAATCCATTTCATCTTTACTAATATTACTAGTCTCTTTCTCTTTAAGTGTATTATTTTTTATTGGGTGTCTGTTTCATTTTTAGTTTTTCATATTTAAAACCATCATATTAACATGAATGATATTAATATCATGGTTGCTTTATCTAAAAAATTCGTTGAACCCACTGTATAACTTCAATATAATCAAAGTAGTTTTTGTATCCTCTGGCATGATGTTTTATGTATTGATAGAAAAGATGTTTTAAAACATCATAGAAAGGCATTCTATCATTTCTATAATAAAAAAACTCATCTTCTAGGTCAGTTTCATCAAAAATAGAATACCCATTAGCAGGACATGCTTCCGAAAACCATTGTTTATACTCATCAAACCCTTTCAGATAGTACGTGTCATTAACAAACTTTACAAGCATCCCTTTTTTACAGCTTTCCGACTTTCTAATCAATTCTTTCATATAGGTTTTCTTATCTTTCAATGTTTTTAGTTTGTTGTATTTGGTGTCTAGATGATTGTATATAAAATGGAACAACTTTGCCTCCCTACTATATTCTTTATATTCTTCATTTTCATATTCTAACTCACACTCCATCATATCAGAACATTTATGACAACTCAGATAAGATAAAATGTTATTAACAGTTCTAGCATCAAAAACCAAATTTAAGACTACTGCCTTTCTATTCCTATGACATTTACACACATAACAGTTCTTATCAAAGTTAAACAAGCTCATATTCTCTCTCTCAATATACTAGGGCGTTATGTCTTTAAGTAGTTTAATCATCAATTAATAAAATTTCATGCCTGTTATATTTTTTACTCAATCCATCCAATATATAGTGTTTGTTTAGTTGTCCATCTCTGCCTACTTCCTTAACTTCATAAGTTCTCTCGCTCCACTGGTTCCTACTTTCTTTACGACTTGTATAGTTTCCCTTTCCCTTTACAAATATTTTAACTTTATCCCCGACCTCTACCTTAGGATACTTGCGTAAATATTTTTCTTTTAAAACAGAGTTTGATTTTACTGTAAGATGGTTGTCGTCCTTGTGCGCTTCATTTGGTGTCATCTCAGTCGTTGAATGTTTCATTGTTTTATTATACTTGTCCAACGCAGGTTTCAATAAGATCGTCCAAGCCCCTTTAGTCACCAAAGCCCTATCGGTGATCATCTTCTTAATCGTCCTAATGGCCCTCTCTGCTACATTTGCATGGGTCAAAGTTACTATATGTTCAATACCTTCACCTTTCAAAAAATCCTGAAACTTTTTATAATTAAATGCCCCGTCATCATCTGAATACATACTGTTAGGATAACCCATAACTTTAAAGCACTCCATAAAAGCATCATACACCGTCTCACCGTCTCTGTTCTCCATAGGCACTATATGCATCTTCTTGCTAAAATTGTCAATGCATAATAAAGCGTATCTTTTATACTCCTCCTTGAAGGTGTCAGTGTCTTTCATCAAGCTTACCATATCCATAATATCAACGCTAAAAACAGCCCTAGCATAAGGCGGGGAATAGCTATTATAATTCTTGTAGTTTCTTCTCTGATTGATGCTTTGCTTCTTCACCCAATCCTTAACATACTGCAAAGTGACACCCGCGCCATCCTTGTTAGCTTCCTCATACAAACTTCTAACAGACCCGTAACCGCGCTCAAGATCATAATATATTTTCTCCAATATCTCATTAGCACTCATAATTAATAATAATTAGATAATTAATTATTATTAACCATGTAAGACCTTCATAATGATTTTATCCTCTATCTCCTTTTGTTTCCTATCTTCATAAACTCTTTTACACCTTTCACTGTTCTGATGCTTAGCTTTATTGCTAGTGCTACTTATGGTTTTACCGCACCTTTCACACTCAAAACATTTATTATTTTTCTTGAAATAATCATTAAAATAACCTTCATTTTTGTTCTTTTCATTCAACCTATCATTATAGACTTTCTTTTTCTGTTTCTTGATGATCTCCGAACTGTCGCTATCAGTTGTAGAAACATCATCACTCTCAAACGAGTTCCAAAGCAGGTCAAACAAATCGTCGTTTATTGTGGTTTTAATTCCATCATTGCCAACAAAGTAGTTAGTAGCCATTTATTTTATAATATGAATATTTCTTTAAATTGCGTTAGCTATTAAAGAAATATCTCACTCATTCGTTTTCAAGCTATGATCTACTACTGGACGCAGAACTAATAACAATAGGGGAACTCTTAACTGATATATGAGAACTTCTAACCGAAATGGGAGAACTTCTTACACTAATGGGTCTGTTGCTTCTTTCACTACCATAATGTATTGTTGAAGCAGGTCGTGAAGAACCGTAATGTATAGTTGACGCTTCGTCAGAAGCCTCGCGAGACATTCGTGACGAACGAGAACTAGCATTACTACTAGCTATAGGTAGATTATCATATGGATCACTCTGGTGAACAGAAATAGAAGAACTTGATGAAGAAGGTAAAGGCGTTTCATCTTTTTTAGTAGGCATTGGTTCATTGCTTCCCCTTGCTCCGCTATCATGACTTGTTTGTCGCGATATTGGCATTTCTACTTCCACCTCTTCAAACAAACTATCAAACAATCTTCTCATCAATGATTTTTGTTGTTCTTGTTCTTCTGATTTTTCGCTTGATTTGCTACTTGATTTACTAGATTGCATTGAGTGCTCACTCTCAACCTGTTGTTCTTCTTTGTCTGGTTCAATTGCTGTCTTCAAACTTTCCGATGTAGATGAGTATGAAGAATGGTCACTAAATAAATCAGTTTGTGTTCCTTTCTGGGGGTTCTCATTAGTCACTATGATCTTTCTATCATATTTACCCAGATCAAAATCATCAAAATCCACCTCATCTAATAACATTCCTTGTTGTGTTCTTCTTTCCCTTTCTGGTAATATTCTTAATCTTCTTGTTCTTGCCTCCCTTAACATTTCTTCATAAGTTGGTTTTAACCTTAGCATATATTTAGTTTTAGATATTATAACAAACTCATAACGGCACTTTGAGCACCTGCGATTAACGCATCCTTTGCGACTTCCTTACCTGCATCTAATAAAGCACTCCCCGCGCTTTCAAATGCTTTTCTGATCATACCTT